TTACTGTAAATTCCCTGTGCTGAATCACCGCCTGCACTCGCCAGGGAGACGGGAATGCTTCCAAGGAGCCGCCCAGCCCGGAGCAGGGACATTTCCAGGACACTGCAGGCATGTTCCTGGAGTCAGAGGTGCAAGCAGGGACAAGGAGAAGGAGGGAGGGAAGAGCTGCTTGCTTAGCAACCAGCAAAGATCCTTCTGCTCCCTGGCTGTGCAGGGCAGGCAAGGTGGGAATATGGGAATATGCAGCTATCCAGGGGCTGTTTCCATCCAGGCACAGCCTCTCTTCCCACAGCACCTGCAGGGAATGCTGTTAAATCTACACAATCCTCCAGGTCTAAGGGTGTGCAGGTAACAGGGAGGGAGGTTTTGGAACCTCATCTCTCCTCATGCAATAGGTGAATTCCCAGCTGGACAGAGCAGTGGGGACACAGCAGTTGCTGCTGCTGAGGGATAGAGGAATTCAGGCACTTCAACATCCCTGGAAACAGGCACAGGCTAAAAAAAAAAGCACTAGAAAATAACCCCCAAACCAGATAATTTAAAAATGCAGCTACAAACTCACTGACAAATGTTCACCCAGGCCATCACAAATCCAGATGCAGCTAAAACTCCATGGCTGGATCCTGGCTCTGCCTCCACTCCTGCCCCTCTCCCATCTCCCTGGGCTCAACCCAGCCCTCCCAGTGGCTCCTGTTCATCACCCCCATCATCAAACCCCACAGGCCGGGGCGTCACCCTCGGTCATCTGCAAACCACTGCACACACAGTGGAAACTCTGAAACCACCACTCCTTTCTGGGATCCAAACATCCTTGTCTGGGAGTTGTCAAACCCCTCCCTGGCTGCAGACAGGCTCCTGATGCTCCAGGGAAGCATCTCCGGGATGTGGGGCTGGAAAGGCTTTCCTGGTGCTGGGAGCAGAGGAGCCCCTGAGCTGCCACAGCCTCACCTCGGGAAAAGCACCAGCTCCTTCGCCGTTCTGGGCTTTTTTTCCCCCCCAGTAATGAAATTTTAGACCCTCACAGGGAAGAAAATTTTCAGAACTTCCCAAACAAATCACTTTTCCAAGAGGAAGTGCAGTGTCCAGACATTGCCCCCCTCGTTTCCTGCCGATGGGGATCCAAGGAGCAGTGAGGAGGTTGAGGCTCGAGAGGAGACAAAGCAGCAGCACTGGAATATTTTCCACCTCTGGAGTGATGACACATCCGTGTGTTTTCCATCTCCAGGAGGGTTTTAATCTGAACTGTCCTCGTGGGTTTTTGAGCCAAGGTTTGTCCCTAACTCCAAGGGGCAGTGGCTGCTGATGTCTGGGGCTTTAAAGCAAGGATAGTCAGAGATTGCTTTTACCCAGTCAAGCCTTAGGAATAACCAGGAAGGAAAATACTGGCAGGAATTGAAAGGGATGCATCCCGGAGCAGTTCCCACCTCGTGAACTCTGGATGTCACAGCTCAGCACAGTTCTCAGTGGGATTTATCCTTCCAGCTGCCCTGCAAGGTAAGGACACACTTCCAGGGAAAAAAGGGATGGGGTGGGTTGAGGCAGATCCACACCTTTGGCATGACCTGTAAATCAATCCCACAGGGGCTGCTTGGGGTTCCAACAGGGCAGGCAAGATTGGGGTTCAACCTGCAAATCCCACATTGTTATCCACAGGGAAAACCTCTGGATGCAGCCTCCAGGCTGGCTGGCTTTGCCTTCCTGCTTCACTCTCTCTGTTGCAAAGTAAATTGAAGTATTTCTTGCAGCTATTTCAGTGATTTCTTATCGTTTCTGTTGCCCAAATGTGTTCCTTTAGATCAGGGCATGGAAATTCTTCAGGCACAGGGGAAGATTAAAAAGCTTTGCATGAGCAAATGTGCCTCAGACAAAATCTACCTTGAGCTCTGAGATTAAACTCAATCAGCATCCCCCAAAAAATCAATCAAGGTGCTCTCTGCAGCTGAAAGGATGTCAAGGAAAGATATTTAAATCAGGACTTGCACATGAGAAGAAAGAATCACCTCACTGAACTCCCTGAAGCAGAACTAATGGTTTCTGCCCTTCTTCAGCCAGGGTTTGGGGGGATCCCTAAAGCCCTGCATGGTGGGAATTGGGCTTTTTTGGCTGGCACACACTGGGAATGCCAAGTGCCACTGGAAAAACAGCCCTTTGGAAGCAGGTAATTCATAGCAGGCTAAAAACATGTAAATAAAAAGCTTGATGGATTAGATTGAAGTCAGGTACTTCCAGGGTCAGTGCAGAGTAAAAATACACTATTTAATCATCTGGTCAGCCTTGGATTTTGCTGGGGGGGGACAGGTGACCCTGGGCAGGGACAGCTCCCACCAGCCCAGATTGCTCCAGCCCCGTCCAGCCTGGCCTTGGACACTTCCAGGGATGGGGCAGCCACAGCCTTGGAGTGAGTTGGGACCAGAGCAGACAAAGCTCAGTTTGTTTTTTGCTGCCTTTTGAGGAAGAAAAACCTCTGCAGCCCAAGCCAAATCCCTCACCAGCATATTTGACAAAACAAGGTCCCAATAATTGGCTTTAAGTGAAAAAAAACACCCAAACTGTTAAAAACAACCCCTCACTTTTCCTCACAGAGCTTAAATTCTGAACCTCATCCTTTTTGCATTTTTTTTCAGGTGCCCAATTTGTCTTCCCCACCACAAGGGTTATATTTGCTTCTCCTCTGAAATTTGGCTCGGACCGTTCTTTCCTCCAGCTCGACATGATCTGGTTACAGGGAAATTCTTACCATGCTTATTTCCTTTCCTGTCCCAGATTTTCTCTGGTTTGAGGTTTCTCTTCCCCTGAGCTCTGCTTTTATGCTGGATGTCGGTCAAACAATCCCACCCTGCTGAATTTATCCCTGGAAGTGTCCAAGGCCAGGTTGGAGCAACCTGGGCTGGTGGGAGGTGTCCCTGCCCATGGCAGGGGTGGGACTGGATGGGCTTTAAGGTCCCTTCCCACCCAAACCATTCCAGGATTCATCATTCTTTCCTTGCAGTCCTCTCAGCCTCCTTCCTTTCCACCTCTTTCCTATTTGACTTCTCCTGTCCTTTTTTATTATGCCCAGGCTGTAAACCTGAGCCTCTGTTTACTCACCTACCTCATCAAGCCCTCACCTGACCACAAAATATCCCAACCAAACTCATGTTTCTGCCACAACAAAGTAATAATTTCACTAAATTTTGAAGGAAATGGTGGTGTGGAGGTGTCAGCTCCAGGATGCCCTGAATGGACTGAATTGTTGCATCATTTGCTTCTTTTTTCCCCACCAATGCAATTTCCAGCCAATAATTGCTGTATTTGTAATTGCTCTTCCTGAATCGTGCAAGTGGCCACAAATCCTTGAGTGGGGACTTGAATTCCTGTCATGTGAGCTGTGCACAACTCTACAGGACACCCCAGAAATCCCAAATCCTCTCTGCAGTCCAACATCCTGCTCTGGTCACACCCAGGCTGGTGATTCCTCACTTTTAAACCGGTGATGCTTTTCTGTTCCTGGCTGGCAGCACAAGGATGGCTTAAGAAGGGAGTGGAAATTAAAAAGGACTTAATGAAAATGAAATTCAAGCCCTGAACGCTGATAGAAAAGGAGTATTGATCCCTCCTGGAATGAGGGACAGCCACGAGCAGGAAGATATTTCAGGTTCTGAGGGATTTGATGAAAGGACTTGCCCTGCTGGCAGAGGGAAAGTCATTATTATGTTGCTGCTAATGAGTGTTTATGGGGTTTCCAGGGAGCTGCATTACACCAAGTAATAAAAGGTGTGAATGACAGCCCTTTGGGGCAGGTAAGAACGAGAAGAAAAAATATTGACACTTTTTTTCCTCTCTGTTTTCCCACCTGGCTCATTTTGTTCCCAGTGAGGCCTTTGAGCAGCTCCAGGGCAGGATTCCCTCCCTCCCTCTGCAGGTGGGACCTGTGTGTTCACAGAGCAATTCCTGAAGTCCAGGACATCCAGACCCCACCTTCCCCCTCTGTTCCAGGAATTAAAGCTGGGAGAAGAGGAGCTGGAGGAGCTGTTCCCAGCCTGAGGTCAATACAAGTCCATCTCACTAATTGGACCTTGGAGAAGCTCCATTAAGGCATCGATCCAGAAACTCTGCCCTGTGTGGAGCACCACTGCAATCAGTGGGATGACACTAATTACACATGGAACCAGGAGGCAGCTGCCTGTCTCCAGCTCCAATCCCTCCCCAGGGATGGGGAGCCAGACAAAAATTCCCATCATTTCATTATTTCCAGCATGTCCTCCCTGTATTTCGCTCAGGGCTTTCAGAGCTCACCAGCAGCAGCTGAAAATGCAACACAAGAGCCTCTCAAAAACCAATGTTTGTGCAGAGCAAATCCCACTTGGCTTTGGTTTTTGGGGTTCTTTTTTTTTTGCAGCTATTTGGCTTTGCATTCCACACACACTGGAAAATAAAAAGGGAAAGTCCACACAGGAATTCTGCTGGGGAGAGCACGTGGGCATGGTCAGAACCACGAGTCTTCTTGGGAAGAGGTTACTGGGAAGAGGTTCCCAGCCAGAGGCTGCAGGAGAACGTCTAAAGAGAGAAACACTTTTTGTTTCTTTAAGTTTCACTTTTCTTCAGGTTTTTTTTTCTCAGGGAAAAAAAAAAAAATCGACTCAGGCTCTATATTTAAATAAAGTTGCATATTCTCCCTTTCATTTTGAACTTTTCAGGATTTGTGGCTTTTTTTTGGTGTGTCTTTTACCCAGAAGCTTTTGTAGGGGCTGTTCCAAGAGCAGCGAGTGCACTTCCAGCAGAGCTGGAGCTTCTCATCTCAGCGGGTTTTGTTTGGTTTGGGGTGGTTTTTTTTTTCCTTCTCTTGTTTACCTGGTGTCTCTTGTCAGCTATTTCAGGTGACGAGGGACAGGGGTTGCCTTTTCCACTGCTTGTAAACAGCAGGGCCGTGGGGCACCGTCCCCACCCGGAGTCTCCCGGTGCCGCTCCGAGCTCCGTCAATAATTAACCCCGAGAAAAGCACCCCGAGGTAACCCCAACAGATGGCTCTGATTGGAATCGCTGTGTTAATAACTCCTGTCCCTTTGCTGGTCCAGCTGGCCCTGCTGAAGATGAGGGTGGTGCTCCTGCTGCTCCTGGTGTCCGCGGGGAGCGTCGGAGCCGAGCCGGAGAAGGGCTTGCCCCGGCGCCTGTCGTGCGTGCGCTGCTGCGGCCCCTCGGAGCAGCCCGTGTCCATCATCTCCTCCAGGCACACCAGGATGAGCAGCAACCCCTACCCTGTGCCCAAAGTCCAGCCCACCATAGACATCACCATCCTCAAAGGTGGGTACAGCCAACCACCCCCATCGCAGCCTTTTCCCGCCTGGCTGCTCCCTCCTCCACGAACTCTTCCCGTATGTCCACCCGAAACAGCTGCAAAAGTTCTCCAATCCATCAAAACCCCAAAGTCCTGGAAGTTCACAGTCCTTAGGTCACGCCAAAACCCAGATTCAAATGTTCTCACTAAATTACTAAGTGGTTTAAAAACTATGGGTGGAAAAAAGGCTTTTTGCACGGTGCATTCCTTGTCTCAGCAAGGCAGACAAGGAAAAGCAAAGTGTGAAATGCAGGAGGTGTTCCAGGAGTCCTGAGAGCAGAGACAAGACCCAGCACTCTCTGCCAGGCCCAAATCAGGCCCTCAGCAGAACCAAAAAGTGGTGTTGCCCCCATCTCTGCACCGAGGGGGTGGGAGATGAACACTGGGTTCATTTACCTGGTGTGGTCAGGCCATGGATCTCCACTGTTGGACATGGAACATCAGCACCACCAGCTTCCCCCTGGCTTCATCCTCCTGAAAAATGGGAAAGTGCTGATGTTTGACCAACATTTTCAGCCTTCTGTGCTGGGAAAACAGTGCCCCAGCACCTTCTCTGCTCGTTGTCTCCCACCAGGACCTTCCTGCAGCTCGGGCTTTGCCGTGCTCGCGTCTCACGAGGTTTCCCTTTCTGCTCGCAGGCGAGAAGGGCGAGATGGGAGAGAAGGGGTTCCCTGGAGCAGCTGGGAAGGATGGAGAGAGAGGGCTACGTGGCCTGAACGGCAGGAAGGGCCAGAAAGGGCAGCCTGGCCCTCAGGGCCACTCCTGCAAGCAGCTCTTCGCCGCCTTCTCGGTGGGCCGGAGGAAACCCCTGCACAGCTCCGACTACTTCCAGCACGTCACCTTCGACACCGAGTTCGTCAACCTCTACCAGCACTTCAACATGTTCTCGGGCAAGTTCTTCTGCTACGTGGCAGGCATCTACTACTTCAGCCTCAACGTCCACACGTGGAACTTCAAGGAGACCTACGTGCACCTGATGAGGAACGCGCAGCCCGCGGCCATCCTGTACGCGCAGCCCAGCGACCGCAGCATCATGCAGAGCCAGAGCCTCATGCTGGACCTGCAGGAGGGGGACGAGGTCTGGGTCAGGCTCTTCAAGAGGGAGAGGGAAAACGCCATTTACAGCGAGGAGTCCGATGTTTACATCATTTTCAACGGGCACCTGGTCAAGCCCGCCGTGGAGGAGTAGCTGCTCTCCGGCTGCGGGCTCGAAGCTCTGGTAGATGCAGTAGTGGCTCCCCCTCTTAGGAATGCACCTCTGGTTCCACCTGGGAGGGTTACAGGTCCATCAGAGCTGCCTGTCCATGCCCAGTGAGGAGGGAGGTGGCTGTTCCAAGGTGCTGCAAAGCTGCACAAGCACCCACAAGGCTTCAGCTCCGGCCCTGTCACCCTGTGCAGACCCCCAGTGATGCCCCTCCCGAGCTGGCAGCAAAAGTTTAACTCCTTTGCTCTGCTTGAGTGAAAAAAAATTAATTATACCTAAGGCCCATAGCATTTATCTGGTGCTAATTAAGGAATGTCGTTATTTCTGCTATTTGGGAATCTTTGAATAGTCCAGGAAGGGTTATAGATCCATGAGGGTTGTCTGTCCGTGCCCAGTGAGGAGGGAGGTGGCTGTTCCAAGGTGCTACAAGCTGCACAAGCACCCACAAGGCTTCAGCTCCAGCCAGGTAACCCAGAACAGACCCCCAGTGACACCCCTGAAGGCTCTGCCAAGCTGGCAGCAAAAACTGAACTCCTTTGCTCTGCCTGAGAGGAAAAAAAAAATTAATTATACCTAAGGACCAGTTATGTGGGTGCTAATTAAGGAATGTGAGTATTCCTGCTATTTGGGAATCCTTGCACTGCTCATCAGGGCCCACCCTCCCCAGGGATGCTCCACTCAGGTGGGCAAGAACACCCCAATGTTATAAGCAATGTTTTGCACAGCACATTAACCCTAAATGACAGTTTTGTGTGCAATATTTCGCTCTGAGAGCACAATTCCAGAGTTAAATAACGGCATTTCCACCTGGGAAAGCTTTTCCAGAGGCACAGAGCTGTAAGAGCCACAGCTGCCCCTCTGTACTAACACCAGTATTCCTCAGAAGAACATCCTGGGAATGTGTGTTTCCCATTCAAAAACGGTGGGATGTTTGGAATTTGCCTAGCTGGAATTCCATGCCTGGAAAATTGCCATCTTATGGCACTATCATTTCTGGGAAATGGAGAGGAAAACTGGGAAGAAAAGGGGTCTTTTCTACCAAAAAAAAAAAAATCAGTGATATTTGATATTTTAGGAGATTTGGGTTCTTTCATTTTTCCTACAAAATTATTGATAGAACAGTGGAAAGGTAAATGCAGCAAAAATCACCTTTTTGTCCCATTCCTCCCTTCCTACTCACTCAGTTTCTCCTCCTGAACTGTTTGCAAGAAGGATCCAGGAGAAGCCCTTGCCAGGCAAACTCCTTCCCACAGCTGTTGGAAAAGTAGCTGAAATAAAGGTATTGCTTTCAGGACCTGCCTTTGTTCGATTTTTTCCGCCCCCAAAACCTTTCCACAGCACCAGAATGAACATGGAATAATCTGTGCAGGCAGTTTGAGTGACTTTAACACCGAAGGACTCCAGAAATTAAACTGGCCCCCAACTCCTCTCCTCTGCAGGCCAATAAACAACCATCACCAGGGGTCAGAATGGGGAGACAGAGGAATTAATCACCCTTATTTTATCAAATAAATACCAAATCTTTCAGCTCTCACACTCTCCCTGCAGACAGGGATTTTTAAGCAGCCCAACTGCAAAGGAAAATCGGGATGGAAACGGGTCCCAAGCCTTGAACCTCCCGGTCTGCTCCTGCTTCCATCGGCAAAGGAAACGCGGGAGAATTGCAGAGCTTTTAAACCCACATCTGAGAGCCCCAAATCTTTTTCTGCCTCTAAATCCCCCCTCTCCCAGCTGGATTTTACAGCTCAGGTCCCAGTCTGGGTGCAGGGCGTTGCTGCAGAACCTCTGGAAGTGCTGGAGCAGGAGCATTCCCAGGCTGACGTGGTCACTGCCTGGGAATGGGAATTCCTCATAATCCAGCAGCTTTCCTGCACTTTTGGCTCCCTCCCATCGTTAAAAAGGAAAAAAAAACCTGATCCAGCTGGAATTATTGCCAGGGAAAAAAACAAAAACCAAAACCAAACCAGAATGCCTTTAGTTCTCTGACTTCAAAGCTGCAAAATTTGCAATTACTGGTCCAAACTTTGGCAACAGGGAGGAGATAAATTCATTTCACACCTTCTCCTTCCCCTCTTTGGCTTGTGTTGATCCACACTGATTCTGGAAAAGTTACTTTCTGCTAAGAAGAAAGCAAAAATCCACCCTCTCTATCCCTTTATCCAGATCTCCAGAACACACAGGGAGGGATATTTTGATTATTGAAGGCACAGGACACATTTAAACCCTCCTGACCTTTGTGCCATCAGCAGGTAAATCACTAAAGCCACGCTGTTTGCAGGTTGCAGAATGACCTTTCAAAGCATCAAAAAGGTTCTTGGCTTGCCTGCATTATTCAAATTAGTCATTTCTAGCATTTTAAAAAAAAAATAATAAAAAAAAAAGAAAATCTCAACCTGGGAGAAAAATTGAAATATCTGAAAAGCTTAATGTACAAAGACATTCCTAATTCCACCTTTTGAAAGCATCATCAAGTTTTTCCAGCTTTAAGGGCTGGGAGAAACATCTCTAGTTAGAGGAGTTTAATGAATCCAATCCAAAGCACAAATATTTGAGATCTCTCATCCCCACACGGGCAGCCTGCCAGGCTCTTTCTTATAAGAACAGAATTTAAATACCTTTTTTTTCTTTTATTTTTTCCCCCATCAATATGTAGATTGGAAACTGAACTTTGGAAAAGCTTTTAAAGTTCTTTTTTTTATTATTGTTTTTATTTTGAAGAGAGGAAAGTAGGAGTTTAAGTGCTCGAATTTAAATGGGGAAGAAAAAAAAAAAAAGCTTAATTTGTATTTATTTTCCCAATTGGTTCCCTAAATTGGTATTTTGCATTTGGTGCTTTGAACTGAACCAGGAGGGATCTGTCAGATCCAGAATTACATTGAAAGGACAAAGCAGCCTCAGCTGCCAGAATTCCCTGGGGCATTTGATTAAGCAATATAAGCCCTCCTGAGGGTCCCTCTCTCCCCAGATCTCGTGGAAGGTGAAGCCCCCAGCTCAAGGCTCCCATAAACCAATTTTTAAAATTGATTTAATTGCCAAAATAACCCCCCTGGCCCTGGGGCAGGGCCAGAGATGGGGGAGGCAGAGGAACCTGGGCAGATGGAAATGGAGAACAGGAGCCTTTAAGGCAACATCCCTTCAGCTTCCTGACTTCAGAGCTGCAAAAACTACAATTACTGCTCCAAACTTTGGCAGTGGGCAGGAGATAAACCCGTTCCACCCCCTCTCTTTGGCATCAGAGCCCCTCCCGAGGAGGAGCTGGGACAGGACCTGTCCCTGTTCCAAAAAGGTGATGGATGGGAGAGCAAACAAAGGACCTGCCCACCTTCACTGAGTGAGGGCAGGGAGAGATTTATGCTCAGCATGAGGAAAAAACACTCGAAGCAGAAGGAGGATCAGACTCCTCAAGTGGCTGCAGATTGAAAGACCAGCTCTCCATCCCAGGAAGCCGTCGATGGGATCTGCCAGCAATGACGGGGGCAGCTTTGCTGGCACAGAGGACTCAGAACAGGCTGCACCGTGCCCTCCAAACCTGCCTTTCCTGCAGATCGAAGTCTGAGGCTGGAAAAGCCACAAGAAGTAGCTCCTACTAAAAATTCCCCCTCTGGAGAAGCTGAGCCGGGGCTGTTTTCCCCTCGCTTTAAATATGCTGCAACTTCCCAAGTCCAAAAAATCCCCCGTGGCTTTTAAACCCCTCCAGGGTGGTGATGGGGACTCCCCCTCTGCCCTGGGCTGGACAACCCTTTGGATGTGGAAATTTCCATAATATCCAACTTCAACTTCCCCTGGCACACCCTGCCTGTTCTGCTTGTTGTGCTCACCCCTTGCGGTCAATGATTCTCCCTTTTTTTTGTTGTTTTGTTTTTTGTTTTCAGTGAGAGTATCCAACAGACCCCACATTCCCATCTTCTTGCAGCCCTTTTTTTTTTTTTTTTTTTTAATTTTTTTTGGTGGTGAAGAGATTGTTTTGGTGAGGTTCCAGCCCTCCTGGCTTTCGGGAAGGTCAGGGTAAGAACAACAGGCACCTCTGCCTTGGGCAAACTGCTTTCTTCCTCTCTCCATAAGGAAACTTTCCTTTTACAACAGGAACAGGCAGATAACATCGGGGCAGATAAGGGAACCAGGCAACAAATAAAGCTAATGGATTGCCTTTGGATGAGTTGAATGGAACTTAATGACTCCGGTAAGGACCTATTCACTAACACAGATTTAAAGCCGCACATAAAACGCAGGAGATAGAAGGGGAAAGTGTTAAAACAAACAGAAACCACTTACAGGGCGGGGAGCGATCCGCGCTCAAAAGGCTGCAGACTTTGGCCCGCACGGGTTGGGCAGCACCGGCTGCTTCCCCACCCTTCTCTACGGTCTGCCCGGCTGGGAAGCTGGGAATGGCATTTCCCAAAGTGTTGGGAAGAGGCTTCAGGCAGAGCAACAGTCAAAAATCTGGGGAATGTTGTATTTCTTTCCTCTGGGTGTGCAGGATGTGCTGTACTTCGAATTCCTTCAGCATTTAATTAGATGATTAGGATCAGTGTCAGCTGTTGAGCTGCACCTTGTAAGGTTTGGGGAAGGAGGAAAAGAGCGAAAAAAAGGAAGATAAACAGCTTTGTGAATGAGCTTTTCGCACAATTCTATTTTCCACGCTCCCTTTTTTTTGTGCTCTCTGCAAATTGCAAATGCTCTTTGCTAAGTGCAGCTCTGACAATGCAGCTCCTGCTCTGGGAACAACACGGAGGTGGTTTAATATCCTACTGGAAATGTCTCCAGGGATTCACAGAGGATGAAATCCTCCCCCAGCCAGCCCCAGGTCCATCCCTGTGAGAGACACAAGTGCTTCAGAGACTTGCCCAGCAGGGAATGTCACCTGGAGTGATCTGGGACTGAATTCCTCCTGGTTTTAGCTGGTTCCTGTCATGAGACCCTTGCAGAGAGTGCCCAGAGAAGCTGTGGCTGCCCCAGCCCTGGGAGTGTCCAAGGCCAGGCTGGAG